AGGCTTTTCCCCTTGCATAGATCCTCAGCCCAAAAGGCTGTGGCACAGTAGGTAAAGCACTTGGCTGCCAACCAAAAATACCAGAGGCTTGAACCTACCGGCCACCCTACATACAAAAGATGAGTTTGCCTTTGCAATGATCCACAACCCTGAAAGCCCTGCAAGGCAATTCTACTCCATCCCAAAAAAAGTCACTGTGAAGCAGAATTGACTCAACAGTAGTGGATCTGGCTTGGTTTACCAAAATCAAACCAAACTCACTGCTGTCTAGTTGGACCCAACTCATAGTAACCTCTCCTTGGGTCTCCAAGGTGGTATCACTATGGAAGTAGATTGCCCAACCTTCCTTCCAAGGAGTGGCTGTTGAGTTTGAACTGCCAGCCTTCTGGTTAGCAGTCAAGTGCCTTAGGCAACTAGTGGTTAATTGTTTCATTCCCTTTCTCTGAGTCTCTTCTTGCTCTGCAGCTGCCTGTGCGACTGCAAGACTGACCCACTTCCCTGTACCTTCCTCTCCCAGCTCTCACATGATTTCAGCTCACCTTAAGTTCCTCCCTGTGTGTCTACACTTGTCTTATTGCTGTGTAAATTCCATGAAGTTTTTTTTTTCATCCTTGACCACCTCTGTATTTAAAATGGCTGCTCTTCAGCCTATCCCATCGTCTTTTCTCTCCCCAGTCACTGACCTTGCTCCATCTTGCTTTCTAGTTAGTGCTCAATCTCATTAATTTATCTTTTCATTAGAAGCTCAGAATTCCAGGATTATCATTGTATATGTTTCACTCAGTTTTTCTGGGTCTGTGTTGTAGAGTGATTGAGCGTAGTGGGTTAGCAGGACACCATCTTGTCTCTGCCTTAATCATAGCTTTTGGCAAAGTGAAAAATTAAATAGTGAAAGTATCTCTTAGTAGGGGATTGGGTAAATAAATTTATGACAGAAACATATTGGAATACTATCCAGATATTAATAAAGTGCATATTTTTATTTAATTGACATGAACAAATGTATGCTGTATATTACATGAAAAACAGTTTATTAAACATCTGTAAAGTATATTCCCAATTTAATTAAAAAAAAAACTTTTAAAGGAAATATACCAAAAAATGTTAAGAGTAGATACTACTGGGTGTTATGATTACAAAAAGTTTTAATATATTTGTGTTGTCTTTTTTTCATGAGTGACTATTATTTTATAAAAGGAAACTAATATTTTTATTTCAAAAAAGTTTAAAACACCAAATAGAAAATTTATGTACATGTAATCTGTATTGGGGAGGAGACATGTTTGTTTTATAGAAATTAATTTATCTGTATGTAGTTACACAAGAAATAAGAGGTGATATTTAAAGTCAAAGGGCCACCCTTAAATTGGATTCCCAGATTTAATTTTGCACTCCAACCTTAAAGCCAAATTAGTTCGTCACTTATATTTGAGATTTCAAAAATGTTAGTAGTAAAAGAAATCTGTTGTTGTTATTATTATGTGCCATAGAGTCGTCTCCAACTCATAGCAACCCCTCCTTGGGTTTCCGAGGCGGTATCTTTATGGAAATAGATTGTCTAGTCTTCCTTCCAAGGAGTGGCTGGTGGGTTTGAACCGCCAACCTTCTGGTTAGCAATAAAGCGCCTTAGGCACTACGCCACCAGAGCTCCCAAAAGAAATCTGTGTTGTTATTGTTGTTATGTGCCGTCGAGTCGGCCCCGACTCATAGCGACCCCTCCTTGGGTTTCCGAGGCAGTATCACTACAGAAGTAGATTGCCCAACCTTCCTTCCGAGGAGTGGCTGGTGGGTTTGAACGGCCAGCCTTCTGGTTAGCAGTAATAGTGCCTTAGTCACTGCAAAAAGGGCAAGGAGGCCACATGTTCTGACCTCCTCTAATCCCACAAGAGGAAGACAGGATTACCAGCAGTAACCCAAGGCCTATTACTGCAAAGCCAGACATGCTGCCTCCCTCCAGCCCTTTCTCCAACCGTCTCTCCCAAAGCACCCACCACATCTCTTCTGGGTTCGATAATTCGCTGCAGTGGCCACACACAACTCACAGATTACAGGGTTTATTAGGGAAGCACCAGGCTACAACTCAAGTTCAGGAAGAATGCTCAGTCTCTCTCCCAGCCCACCTTCTCTCAGCCAACAGTCTCTCACAGTCTCTTTCCCAGCAGTGCTGGTCCCTCAGTGTCTCACTCAGCAATTCGTGTCTCTTGCGTCTCTTTCCCAGCAACGCGTGTCTCAGGAGCCCGTGTCTCTTTCAGCAGCATGTCTTCCTCCACCAGCAGTCAGAGAGTTCTGCCTCTAGGAGGCCTCCTTTTGAACCCAACAGGATGGTCAAACTAGCCAATCACAGCATCAGAATGATAAGCACCTGAGAGACACAAGTCAAGGAACCAATTGGAGGGCTCTGCAATCTATAAGTTGGTCTATTCCAATGATAAATCCAGTAGCTCAGGCAAAGACCACCACATGGGCCCACTGTAAGACAGACTTGGGCCAGGACTCCATGTAGTACCTGATTCCCATAGGCCCTGACTCTGTATCACATGGAGGCATTATGGTACTTTGGGTCCTTGGGTACAGGGTTAACTCAGTTTCTGCACAGGGTTACAGTCTTCTTAGGAACAAAACTTTCATTGATGGCCACCCTAATGCCTCCCAGGCTGTGCAAGCAGGGCTAAGAATTTCATCAGAGAATCATTGCGCACCTCCCAGAACATTGTTTTGTGCCACTCCCAGCAGAAATACTTCAGGTGGACACCTTCAGCAATCAGGAGCTCCTCCTCAGTTGCTCATAGCAAATCCCATCTTGGAGTTTCCAAAGACTTACGGGTAGAAAAGCCACACAAAGTAATTTACTACACTGCAGTCACTATGCTACCAGAGCTCCTAAAAAGAAATCTAGTGAGTTTTAATATTCATTATTCCAGAACCTGAAGATACAGTGGACTAAAAAACCAGTAAGACTGGCATAAACCTAAACACAATGATTCCATAAAATTAATATTATGTCATCCCAGTTTGCTTTCTCAAAGTCATCCAGCAACTCAGGTGGCCATCAGGACCATAGCTCAGTCTTAGATGGTTTACCCCTACTTGTTTTGCCTTGCCAACCTTCTATTTTTTTTAGCCTATTAAATGATGGTTAAGTCTTTTAAAAATGATTATATATTTGTGTATAAACAGCTCTGGTAGCATAGTGCCTAAGGCATTTGACTGCTGGCCAGAAGGCTGGCGGTTCAAACCCACCAGCCACTCCTCGGAAGGAAGGTTGGGCAATCCTACTTCCGTAGTGATACTGCCTCGGAAACCCAAGGAGGGGTCGCTATGAGTCGGGCCAACTCGACGGCACATAACAACAACAACAACAAAGCTTCTGTTACAAAATAATACTATATAATGTTTGACTATGTCAAGGTGTCATTGGTCCAAATTGCTTTATCAGGTTATGCTGGAGAAATCTCATTTTCATTGAAAAGATGATTTTGATACATTTCAAATGACAATACTTCTAAAGTGAAATAATTTCCAACTTTAAATTCTTTCCTTGCTGGTATTCTCTTAGTTGGAGGCAAAGGAAATGGACAGTTCCATTTGGGAGAGATATGTAAATCTACTCACACCTCTGTAGGCTTTATTCATGATTATTATTTAGAACATTTGGAGATTATTTAGTAGACATTCAAGGCGACTAACAGCCAACACTACTGAAAATATATCACCCAGCTACTTCTGCTTTATGAAGGCTGATTTTGTAGAAACTCATTAGCATAAACAGCAAAGTCTCTACCATCAGCCTGCTGGAGTTTGTTATCTCTGAGCCACCACATATTTCTCTGTGTTACTTAATCTCTCTTAATCTCTTAACACCTGTAAAATAGGGATGATATTGATACCCACTTCTTAAGGTTGTCAGAGTAAATTATGATAATATAAAAACCCGTTGCCATTGAGTGGGATCCAACTCATAGCGAGCCCTACTTTGGTTTCCGAGGCAGTATCACTATGGAATTTGATTGCCCAACCTTCCTTCCAAGGAGTGGCTGGTGAGTTTGAACTGCCAGCCTTCTGGTTAGCAGTCAAATGTCTTAGGCACTACACCACCAGATATGATAATATAGGTTAAGCATTTAGAATAGTGCCTAGCTTATAATAATAAAAAGTAGCACATATAGCACATACTGTTATTTAAGACTTATTTTATAAGTTAGAAGCAAAAGTAATTCGAGAAGGCAGTGTGCAAGATATTTGTAAAACATTTTCCTCAATATCCCACTAAAAAACCTACTGTCATCTAGGGAATTCTGACTCATAATGATACCCACTGGATTTCCAAGGCTGTAAACCTTTACAGAAGTACATTGCCTTATCTTCCTCCCATGGAGCAGCTGATAGGTTTGAACTGCCCATCTTCTGGTTAGCAGCCAAATGTCTTACCTACTACACCATCAGTGCTCTTGTCCATTAAATGCATAATTGGGTAAATAATGTTCACTGCCTTGTTAATGTAGTCCACATTTTTTTTTTTTGTCATTCATATGTGCACTTTGTCAAAAAATAAAAGCTTAAATATTCTAGAATGTGGAATATGCCTTAATATTTAACATCATAGTAATGTAAAGAAGGAAACTGTTCTGTGTATTATTCATGATTTACCTTAGTGCCTAGTATAACTCAGCAAAAACTGTGCTGTGTAGCATTTAGAGTTGTCCCAGTCGTAAGCCCTGAGTGGGAAACTTCTCAGGGCTGAATCATGACACCTTCTTGTTAAAGTGGTCGCTAATCTTACACTTTGTTTCAGAGCTACAGAGTTTCTGAAACATATTTATTACTCTAAACCTCAGTTGCCTCAGCTGTGCAGTCCTCCTATATTTTTAAAACTTAGGCACTTAACATCCAATTTAGAAGTGTGTTTATTAGTACTCTTAGTTATGTAATAAAGTAGCTTTATATCACATTCTTTTGGAGATTTTATTGCATTTAACGCTTATTTTTTATACCTTCCTAAGGTATTCCCATCTGTCAGCAGCACTTAATTTGGAATAACATGGAGCTTGAAGATGATTATTGCTTGAATGATTACAAGTGAGTGTAATTATGTATTAGCTGTTTTATAGACTTTCAATATTATAAAACAACTGCAAACTGTGTTTTTCTTCTGAATCCTTAGATCATGTCTTTCCTCCTCCTGAATAGTTCTTGGATCCATTGGGTTCAATATAAATCCTGGGAGGATTTGTTCATTGGCAACCCCAGAGGGTCTGATCCTTATCTTGTTGTACTTTGTTTTTCCTTCTAATTTCATCTTGCCAAGCTGTTTATCCTTGCCTTTTTAGATCTTGCTGTTCTTGTCTTCTTGCTTTATCTTCTTTGAATATTGATCTATTTCCACTTGGCTACTTCCTTTTCTTTCCATTTTCACAAAGAATCTTGGATAAGAGAGAATTGCTTGGCCCTGTTGTATCCTAAGTCTTTTGTTTTTCTTAAGCACTCCTTTTGTTAGTATGTAACACTTGTGTGCCAGTGATTGCAAATATCAGTATCTGCCCTCTTGTCTTCTCCCTTCTTTCACTTAATGCATAATTCTTTGTTTAAGGAAAGAACAAAAGAGTGAGAGGTGATGTGAAATAAATGGAAGAGCCCTAGGTGTCAAAAACCTTCATAGATTTGGCTTTGCCTTTTTCTGACACCTTGAGTCCTCAACAAGACTCTTCTCTGCTCTGGCCTTCTTTTCTTCTTACGTGGAAAATGATCATGGAGGTCCTTTCCGGTGCTTTTGGTCTGGAATTTTATGTCAAATTAAAGGCTATTAAGAACTTTTTCGTTATTTAGACAGGTAAATAAGGTAAATTACATTTACTCATATTGCTTTATCTTTTTATATTTTAGAGGGTAGGCATTACGCCTCATAAACCAGCACATTATCATGTGATTTGACAGTGAATGTATTTTGACGTTCATGGTTTATTTTTGTGTTAACTATCCACAGCATTTCAGAAGGTTGTACCTTGAAGCTGGTATTGGCTATGCGTGGTGGACCTATAAATACTAGAAGAGGTAGGCATATATTAAACTCATATATATGTAGCAGTTTTACAAAGATAATCTTTAAGCAAATAAAGAATTTTTATAGCCTCAGGTATTAGACAGGTCTTTAATAAAATCTCATGATTCATGATTCAATCCAGGAGGATTTAAAAATAAGTCTCACTAGTAGGGTGCAAAATGGGATGACATAATATTAATATTATGGAATCATTGTGTTTAGGTTTATGCCAGTCTTACTGCTTTTTTAGTCCACTATATCTTCAGGTTCTGGCATAATGATTGCTACAGAAAATTCCAAAGATGCATGTTGATCTGGTTTGTGATACAACTGGGTTTCATGGGTATTATCATGGCCCTGTTGTATCCTTTCTCAGTTTGTCAGTGGTCTCTGGGAATTCATTCATCCATTCAACAAATACACATTGAACATACTAGATTTCTCAGTGGAATGTTTCAAGTGCAGTGAACAAGGGAGACAGTGTCTGCTTGCATGATGCTGACTATAATAAACATGTAAAGAATTGATATAATTTCAGGTAGTCTTAAATGCTATGGGGAGGAATAGGGTATATTGTTTGTGAAAGTAGGGTAGTAGTAAGATGACTAAGAGCTCTGGTAGCGTAGTGCCTAAGGCATTTGACTGCTAACCAGAAGGTTGGCGGTTCAAACCCACCAGCTGCTCTTTGGAAGGAAGGTTGGGCAATCTACTTCCGTAGTGATACCGCCTCGGAAACCCAAGGAGGGGTTGCTATGAGTCAGGGCCAACTCGATGGCACATAACAAAAACAACAGGAAGATGACTATGGAAGGACTCTCAGAGATGACATTTGAGCAGACACTTGATTGAAGACTCTAACCATGTGATGAGCCCAGAGCATTCACATTGTTTCATGATTCAGATATGTTACAGAATACAAGCCAAACATAGAAGTACTTAGACTGCTTAGATTCCTGCCCTGTGGATCTCATTTTAGGGAAGGCCTTCAGATTTGTTGGATCTTTCACTAACCGGGAAACTTACACTTAAGTATTGATTCCATTGCTAGATTAATTATCCAAGTTAAATTATGTCTCTGTGCTTCATAATTTTGATTAGAAAATAGGGTTATTACCATCTTTTTCCTAGCTAACGCAACAGAATTTTGTGAGATGTTTAATGACTAGGTTGTTGAACTGTTTTGCACAGGTTTGAAAAAACAAAGGTAATGCTAGAGCTGATAACCTAAAAGGAGCTCTGGTGGTGCAATGCCTAAGGCATTTGACTGGTAACCAGGAGGTGGTGGTTCAAACCCACCAGCTGCTCTAGCACTCCTGATATGAAGGATTTTTTGTTAATTGGATTTATGAAATTCTCCTATATGACATAAGGTAATGTTTATAGTATGACTCTGACTGAAGTACAAGAACCCTAAGTATTTACAGAATCATAAATTTAGATTGAATTATTAAGTATTTAATGAAGTGTGAATTCCATTGTATTACATTCTTCAAGTTGGTTATTTGTGAGTAGTACTGTCTTTAAACCAGTAGAATTAATTAGAATATGTAATTTTCTGACGAGGACTAAAATGATTTTTTGTATTTATGAGCAGACACATAACTACTACAGATTCTAAATTATATATATATTTGGCAAGCATGCTGGAGTTTTCTAACAGCCTTAGTACAATATAGTTCACATGCCATTAGGTTCATCTGTTTGAAGTGTGCATCTGGATGGCTTTTAATATACTTGCAGAGCTGTGCAGCCAACACTATAATCTAGTTTCAGAACATTTTTGTCACTCCAGAAAGAAACCTCTATCCATTAGCAATCACTCTTCATTCTCCTTTAAGTCCCTTCTGTCCTGAGGCAACCACAGATCTGAGTTCTGTGTCTTTGAATTTGCTTCATGTGATCATTTCATATAAATACACTGTATGGTCTTTTGTGACTGGCTCATTTCACTCAGCCTCATGTTTTCAAGTTTCATCCATGTTGTAGCATGTGTCAGTGGGTTATTCTTTTTTTGTCACTGAATCCTATTCTGTGGTATGAATGTATCACTGTTTATCCATTCATCAGCTAATAGATTGTTTCCACTTTTTGGTTATTATGAACAATGCTGTTATGAACATTCATGTACCACTTTTTATATGGACACATTTTCATTTCTCTCTAGTGGATACTATTTTTACTGTTTTTTACAAAATGAAAATCCTTTAACTTTCTAGGCCTGTTTTATGAATTGAAAAATCAGCTAGGACTTATCTTTATAGATGAATCTTCTTTTAATATTTTAAATTAATATTTAATGCATATGCCTTTATTGAATCAATTTTTAAAAAAACTGAAAGCTTGCTTTTTACACCTTACTGCACTAAAAACTTGGCAAAAAAGAAAAATTGCACTCAGATCTGACTTCTCCATATTGTAGTTAAGAAACTATATTTTTAGTTATTTAGTATTATTTGAAAATTATGGTTTAGAAAATGCTTTTATGGTGTTTTGATAATTCATATTTAGCTTTTAAAATTGTTTTTTAAATAATCACTGTCAAAATAGCATAAGAATACTTTCCTTTCTAAAACAAAATTTTATCCTAAACTTTGTATATAGTATTTTATATCTGATAGACTCTAAATAATTCTTCTTATATGAAAAGTTGTATATATATATGTACATATTCAACCCTGAAGCTCCCCAAATGAGTCTCACTATATTGGTTTAAGGAAAGGCTGGTGGTTCAAACCTACCAACCACTCCTTGGAAGGAAGGATGGGCAATTTACTTCCGTAGAGATATTGTCTCGGAAACCCAAGGAGGGGTTGCTGTGAGTCAGATCTGACTCGACAGCAGTGAGTTTGGTTTGGTTTGGTCATGGTGCTTTAGTAAAGTCCCTTCTTTTGGCAGTAGCAACAGCTGATAAATTGATATGATAGTTCTTATTTCTTTCTCATTAATGTGAAAAATGTAGCATTAACTTAAAAATGGCAAGAATTTTTTTGTGCCTGGGTCAATCAAGGAAGATTGGACGATCTACTTTTGTTGAGATACTGCCTTGGAAACCCAAGGAGGGATCGCTATGAGTTGGAACCGACTGTATGGCAGTGAGTTTGGTTTTTTTTTTTTTTTTTTTTGAGTCAACCAAAACATTCAAATAATTATTTTTATAAAAATTGTCATATTTCAAAGTTTTTAAAATTATTTTTTAAAAATCTTTTAAAGTTTACTACACTAGTATATGAGAACATCTTTAATGTTTTTACCTTATTACTTCCAGAGCTTAATATTTTCCTATTAAACTCGGTTCAATCATTTCCTGTTAATTTTTTTCCTTTTTTTTTTAGGATAGTACAGCAGTGTGATTCTTTTAATAAATAAACTCCTTGAATGAAAGTCATGCAGTTTGGGAAATTGTTGCTACTTTTAAGACAGAAGAAATGTTTCTGCAGCATGACATGAGAATGTCTTTGAAAATGAACTTTTCTTTCTTTTTTCTGGAACCATTACTTAGTCTCCTGAGTTAAGGGGTCAGGGGCTGCTAGAACATGTATTCTAGGAAGCATATATCTCTGAGGTCCATTCCTGTCACAGGAAGAGAATCGTAGTTGCTATGGCCTAGAGTGTGTGGAAGTTGATGGCTCTTGTATGATTTGAATCCTGAGCACTACCCTGTGCCACTTGAGCTTACATGGGGCTTTGGAGTGACTCTAGTTATCCTGTGTGCCTTCATGTGCTTTGATTGGCACCTTGCTGTGTAACAACATTTGGGGCCGTGGGAGGATGCTTTCAGGAAAAGACTTGCCAACCATTTAGTATGTTGCAGTTTTACACTAGTACACTAGTGACCCATTTATGTTCTGAGTTATTGTGTACTTTTTGATTACCTAAAAGCTCCAAGAATAATCAGCCTTTTGATAAAACCAAAAAGAAAAAGAAGGGTTTATTTGCTTCTAATTTCATATATATATATACTTCTTAGTTGTCTGTGTATATTTATTTTTTTAATTTAATGCATGTGGGAACTTTCATGTTGCTTTTTAATTACTGATTGTTAGGACCAACCAATAATTGAAAATACAGGAAGCAGAAGGTGTACAGTGAAAATAATCATAGATTGTAATATTTATCTATAGATAATAACATCATAGAATCAGCAGGTATACTGACTGCAATGATACAGGCAAATACTTATATATTTGGTAAACTCTGTCTTTGGATATGACAACATAATAATGCATAATAATTCCTTCATATTAATATAGGGAATGCTGTATTGGCTATTAAAAGTTAATAAATTTATTTTAAGAATATCATATATATATATATATATATATATATATATATATGCACAGGATTTTTGTTCAGATTTAACACCTCATATGCTATCACTGTACCAAGATGCATAAAATGATATAAATTAAAAGATTGTTTATTAGTTTTATCATTTGTAGTTCCTATGGAAGATCCACTTAGGGAGATGGCTGATTACATGGATTCCAGTCGAGATGAGGTCTGGGAGAAGACCTGCTGCAACAAACAAGTCACATTTTTGGTATACAGAGAAGGAGATCAATTGAATTTCTTTCGTGTAGTAGATAGAGGAGATGGCACTTTAACACCATTATCTGAATCTTTAAGGTAAATAGGTTTTCATTTACATGTCTTACTTAGAAAAAAAAAAAATCATATGATATACTCTATTAATCTTTGTATTTACCATCTGTTAAAATAGTCTTACTCTATTCACAAGACTAAATTTCATGCTTTGCCTCGCCCCGGCTATGGAATTCTGACGTTGTCCTTCATATTATTGATGCTTAGAGAGTAATTTCTATAACTGAAATTTGCTTATGGAGTATATAAACTATAAAAAGGGTTGGTTTCTGATACTTTATGAAACTCTAAGATGCCTACTAGGTTATAAAGTTTTGTTGTACTAATGTGTTACTATACACCCTTGACTTAGTAGAAAAGATTGAACCTAAAGTTGGGATTGCTTTTCAAAGTTCAACTTTGCTGCTTAAAAATGGACAAGGCTCTTTACTTCTCTTATCTTTTTTTATAATCTATAAAATGGGGATTGGGGGGTTTTATTATTCTAAAATCAGAAGGGGAAAAAAAAAAACCTAAAGATATTTTAGTAGGCAGTTAGACTAGATAATCTCTAATATTCTGTATACTCTGATTTATTATAACCTTTTCTGTCTTTTTTCACTATCAGTCACTAAACATTTACTGAACTATTGTAGCAAGTCACCAAGCTAGGCACTATGATTATAAAAATGATTGTTCCTACCTTCACGGAGCATACAATCTCCTATAAATAGTGGCCATGATTGTGTTGGTGATTTCTATAAAAAGATATAAAGATCTGTGTGAAAACAGATGAGAGGGCCTTCATTTTGCCTGAGGGCTGAGAGTTCAGGGCAACCTCTGAGAGGAAGTAGCTTTGAAAGAAGAATAGATCTTTGCCAAGCAAAGTAAGGAAAGAAAGGTAACTCAATTTAATCCCACAGAATAGAAATCCAGTGGTAAAACTATTCATAGAAAAAATAGCTTATAGTCTGAAGAAGTCTCTGCGGGTCAGAAGTCTGGGCATGGCTTAGCTGAATCCTTTATTCCTTATGTCACAAGGCTGCAATCAAAGTATTGGCCAGGCTGTATTCTTATCTGGAAGTTTGATTGGGGTAGAATCTACCTTCAAAGTCATTCACACAATTGGCGTAATTCATTTCCTTGTGGTTGTATAACTGAAAGCCCTGACTTTTGGCAGTCTTTTGGCCAGTTGTCATTGGAATGACTTTCTGCAGTGTAAATTTCATATACAGAGATTATTTTGTTTTGTTATTGTAGGTTGAATTCATTAAGCAACATTATCAAGTCCACAGTAAAAATTAATTTCCAAAGGCATTCAGTGTTTGAGAATAGTAGTTGAGGGTGATAGTACTTTGCTCGGAAAAAAAAAAAAAAAAATCAGTCTTGGCTCTCAATTAAAAAACTCATAGTAAAACTTTTTTATCCCCAAGCCATCAAACTTATCATGGTTAAGTTCATGAGAGCAAATGAAGTTCATCATTGACACTATTAATTCAGTAATACTGATGGATTCGGATATTTATTGTGCAATACCTTCTGATGAATAATACATCTTATATTTTTATTATCTTTGTCAATTCATAAATTTTAGCAGAATTTACTTCAAGTAGTGCTGAATTAGTGTTTTAACAATTTGCTTGAAAATATTTTCACTATAGGTATTCCACACAGACTATTCGTAAAGCTTAATTCTTTAGTCACTTAAAACTTCATATTGACATTGTTTGTTGTTGTTGTTATGTGCCATTGAGTCGGCCCCGACTGGTAGCGACCCCTCCTTGGGTTTCTGAGGCGGTATCACTACAGAAGTTGATTGACCAAGAAATGCAAATCAAAACAACAATAAGATACCATCTTGCTCCAGCACTAGTAGCAAAGTTCAACAAGACAGAAAATAACAAATACTGGTGAGGACGCGGAGAGATTGGGACTCTCATACACTGCTGGTGGGACTATAAAATGATACAACCACTGTGGAAAGCAGTATGGCGATTCCTTAAAAAGTTGGAATTAGGAATACCATTTGATCCAGCCAATCCATTACTAGGTATATATCCTAAAGTAGTGAGAGCCAGGACAAGAATGGACATATGTGCACCCATGTTCATTGCAGCACTATTTACAATAGCCAAAAGATGGAAATAACCATTCCTCAACTGAGGAATGGATAAGCAAACTATGGTACATACACAGAATGGAATACTATGCAACCCTAAAGAATAATGTAGAATCTGAAAAACACCACATAACATGGATGAACTTGGAGGACATTATGCTAAGTGAAATAAGTTAATCACAGAAGGGCAAATATTGTATTATTCTGTTATTGTAAAAAGTCAAGGAAAGGTTTATATATGGAAGGGAATTTTTTTTGTTGGTTACCAGGGGTGTATGTGTGGGGCGGGGGGGACACTGTTAGATAGGTAGAGACAAGTATTGATTTGGGTGAAGAGAAGGGCAATGTACCAAATGTGAGTGATCAACATGGTGACACTGAGGAAGAGGAAGACATAGAGAGGTGCATAGGAGGTGCAGACAACAAAGATGAACCCTTTTGCACATATGGTACTGCATTGTCAGTGAAGGCAAACATGGGTATATGGGTGGATAGATGGGTGGACAGGCTGAACTAGTAGGTATGTCTATGCAAGGGGCAATGTACCCAAGACCATGTATAGAGTTGGCAGACAGTGATCCTGTAAGTGTATTTGTATGTTCTGTAAGAATTCCCAGGTGTATATTAGAGCTGACACGAGACAAGGTTGTAGTCACTTCTTGGTCGCAGCCAACTACCCAGAGGGACCGAGTAGTTGAACCGGTGGACTTGGGACCATAGTCACAGGGGACATCAAGCTCAATTGGTATAACATACTACACAAAACATTGTTCTACCTCCTATTTTGGCGAGTAGCAACTGGGATCTTAAAAGCTTGCAAGCAGCCATCTAGATACACCAATCAGTCTCTCCTTGTCCAGAGCAAAGAAGAATGAAGAAAACCAAAATTCATGGAAACAATTAGTCCTAGCAACTGGCGTACCATGTGATCCTCAGCCTATACAACTATAAGACCAGAACTAGATGGTGCCTAGATACCACTGTCAACCACTTGGAGGGGGATCTATGTAGGAGATCCTGGATAGAGAGGGAGAACAATGTGGAACTCTAGCTGCCCCTCAGGTCTGGAATTGAACCCACACCTATGGCTTACAGCCAAACAAAAGACAGGCATATGAACTGAACATTTACACAAGGTAGATACACTCCTTGGAGAGAACAATCATGGGAGAATAGAAGGGCTGTGTATGCACAAGGACAAAGCTCAGGGGGCAGGAGTGCATGGAGGGAAGGACACAGGGAAGAGGTAACTATGGGGAAGAAGTGGGAGGGGAGCTGTTGCATTGTGGTAAATTGTAGTCAATGTCATGAGACAGTGGGTGTGAACTGCTGTGTGGAAAGTCAGTTTGCTCTGTAAACTTTGACCCAAATCACTATACAATACAAACAAACAAACATTCACATTGACACCCTGAATGAACAATAACAACTGAGCAATATTGGTAACAAGTGTTGACACATGAGCCAAGAAAACAGCTCAAAATCATTTGCCTTCTTATTTAATTGTCTATTGGTGTTGCTTCCAAGTCGTCAAATCTTGGAGCAGTTGTTCTTGCTAAAAAAAGGCTAGTAGTAGTCTTAAACTACAATTTTTTTTTCCACCCTCTGAACACTTTTCTTCAAGCTGCTGCAATAAAACACAGTTACTTAGATCACTTTTTGCAAACAGCTTTCCTTGCTTGATTAACTAATGAGCCACTTAGAAACTGGTTGCAGCCTCATTTTCATTTTTCTGAGAAAATTCTGTTGTGATGAGATACTCCATTTTCAGTTTTCTCATTTTCTGACTGTTGGCTTTTCTGTGAGTTGGGAATATTATGATGAGGACTCAGTCTAGCAATGTTGATACATGTTATACTCTTAGAATAGCTATCGTGTCATTACATAATAAACAATGCTTTGCAATCTAGTTTGATAACAAAATAATCAAGTATCTACTGTGCTTTTAAAGTGCAATATTTGAACTCTACTTTTCATTTCATATTTTGACCTGTTGGGTATGAACTGGTAATTTTAAAAACTGATACTCAAAATGCTATTGAGTTAATGAGTGTGCCACTGTGATTTGTGGTATGCTGAGTCACAGTGCAAAGCAAAGAGCAGTACATACAATCTCTGTCCTAATTACTCAACTTTACCATTGTAACATGAAAGCATACATAGTGCATAATCAAGTGAACATGGCTGCATCCCAAGAAAACTTACGGACACTAAATTTGAATTTCATGTAAATTTTCTTGTGTTGTGACTTATATATTCTTTTGATTTTTTTCCCCCAACTATTTAAAAGTGTGAACACCATTCTTAACTTGTGAGCCACACAAAAACAGATAGTGGACGAGATTTGACCCATGGACATTGTTTGCTGCCTTCTGCTCTAAAAGGAACAGGGTGAATTGGGTGTTTATTTGATTCATTCTGATGCAAAATTCATCATCAGTCATTTTTAGTCTCAAACATTTTAATGAATGAAACCACCTTACTCTTTTTTCTAAGTAGAAATATAGGAGACATGTCAAGACTGACTTAAGTAATAACTTGTTTAAAAGTCACATGAGTACTTGACTTGGGTATGATATAATCAATATTTCGGTTGATATAAATATTTGTCCATCTCTTTGATCATAGTTAAATTAAAAATTTAGAAAACATATTTAACATTCAAGAAAATTAAAAGATATTTTAGATTAAGTTTATAAATTACTCTGTTATTCTGGTCTAGTTATTGTATTTTTTTTTTTTTATTTAGAAAAGAATGACTGGCTTCTAACTGATTGCAAGAATTTAGGGTTTCTGAGGGAAATATAATAATATGTTTGTTTTTTTTTGGAAAAAAGTATATGAATTAATATGTTTCATATTCTATAATGCATTCAATGAAATATCATGACTTTACTTTTTTATTTATATACATAATCCAATGGAGGACAATAAAGGACTGGGTTTTTATAAGAGGATGGTTAGGTCAGGAACCTCTTTCAGTATTCAATATGGGTACTTCAAGTTAAAATACTACAGGGTAACCAATAATAGAGTATACTTCAGTCATTCCTTCCAACTCTACATGGTAAGTAAACTGGTGAAAATCTTCATCCAACCCTCCTTTACAGGTATGGTTGATTTTGAGACACAAATCTTTGCATGCTGTAAGTTCTAGTACTCATTTGGGTACATAAGCATCATGCAGTAATGTTTATTGTTTGGTCTCTGTGGAAGCAACAGAAAGAATAGGCTTTGGAACCAGACAGATAAGGAAGTTGAATTTAGGTTGATCATCTACTAGCTCTTTGGTCTTTGCCAAAATAACAACCTCTCTCAACGGCAGTTTCTTCATAATATGAAATATAATGACTTCCTTATATAGTTTATGTGAGCTTTGGAAATAGTGCGTAGAAAGTGCTTAGTAGAGTAGGCAGCCAGTAAATAATCAAGCCAAAAAACCAAAGTTGTTGCTGTCGAGTCGGAGACAGCTCAAAGCGACCCCTCCTTGGGTTTCCACGGCAGTATCACTACAGAAGTAGATTGCCTAACCTTCCTTCCGAGGAATGGCTGGTGGGTTTGAACCACCAGCCTTCTGGTTAGCAGTCAGATGCTGTAGGCACTATGCCACCAGAGCTATGTTATTACTCTAGTGTTGTGTTTGTTGTGTCAGTCATCATCCTGTAGTAGGCATCTGCACTAGGTAGCAGTGAAAGTCACAAGTTAAGCACTGCAAACAAAATTTGTTGTGAAGATCAGTTCCCAACTTTCTCCCTTCTGATCCCTATGCCTGCCTACTGTGCATGTCATTAACCCATAATTTCCAAAGATCATCAGTTTCATCATATGAAGCTTAGGAATGGGGCTATCCACTTTATACTTTGTTTGCCCTTGGTTGTAGTGTGTGTTTCAGAGGTGTTATAGAATATGCCTTATTAAGACTATCCTTCTAAATTGTTTCCATTTGTTACAGCCATATAGAATAGGATATCCTTTTTAGGTTTTTATATACTTTTTAATCTTAACATAAATATCATCTCCCAAAATAACAATTTCATAATTTAATAAGTGCAAACCCACAGTAGGATACAATCTCTTTTTCTTACATGCATATGAAATGGCAGGATGAAGGAAACAAATTAGAACTCTGACAAGTCTCCATGTAGAACAGGATATTTTAACTCTCATACTTTTTAGCATAGATGCATCCTTTAGTTTTTGTAAAATCAAGCATGGTATTAATAGTCATTCCTCTTCTGCTCTATTTAAAATTTTAGTCTTTCATCAAATATGTTGAACTGTGGTTTTTCTAAACACTTAAACCATTGTAATTTTCTTGTTATTGAAAAAGCTGAATGAAATGCCAGTATTTGTTTTCAGTCCATCAAACATTTATTAGATATGTGCTCAGCACTGTCCTAGGTGCTGAATAAAGCCTAATATCTACTTTCAACTTGCTTACATACGAGTTAGAGGAAAAGCCAGACATGCAAGTACAAATATGAGGATAGTGTAATAAAGATCATAGTATTACGCAGTGAAAGAGGAAAGGGTCCCAATATTAGTTAAAGTATAAGTAAATGTCATTATGACTGATCAAAATATTTAACCAGCATATTAGGAATTTTGTGTCAGACATGACTTGATACTTTTCCTTGTTAATATCTATGCTATTCCAAGCATTTACATTTCCATATTCTCTTAGGAGAAACCCTGTTATTTCTATTCTTTTGTTTGTTTTGTTTCTTTTTGTTCTAAAAGAACAGAAAGTGTTCTGACAGCCCTGCATATGTGTTCTTTTTATAGTGAAGATCCTTACAGGATGACTAAAAATCTGGGCTTCTCTTCTGTGCCAATGTCTGGTTAATGGAAATTGATCAGCCAGTTGTCGGGGTTGTATAATTATCAGTTTTGACTAGTAAAATGAAATCAAGTCATTCTTGTGGAAATATATTTTGATCTGTGAGAATGATACAGTGAGTGCCAAAAGATTTTAATGTACAGTACACTGAATTTATAGAAGCTTGGCTGTACTAGATTTTTAGTAATGCTAGGTCATGTTGTTTATCTCCAATTAATTTTTTCTCCTGAAATATATTTTTGAAATGCATTTTCCTTGCATATTGACAAGGTGGATTTCTGGTTTTATCACTAGGAGCATTTATAGTTTCTGTTGCACATATAATATTTTTAATCATTAAGCAGGCATCAAGCATATTTCGCTATTAATTATTGTTTTCTTTGCAGTGGTGGTTCTGTGTATAATTTGTATACAGATGAGGATGAAGAAATTGAGCCTTCTCCTTCTGGGCAACAGATAATTGAAAATTCAATAACTATGAATAAGATGAAGCTGCTGAAGGCTAAGATGGAGAATATGTATCTCAGCAAAAAGGTGAAGCTGTTGAACTTTCTGTGGTTTACCATACCCCTGAAGGGCTCACAACAATGAGGTCTGTCAGTAATTGTAAAAAAAAAAAAAAAAAAGGAAAAAATATATAAATATTTATTTCAAGTTTCTGGCCTTGGTTATTTATTGAGATAGTAAAAGTGATCAATTGATTTTATTTAGGCCAGTGTCACATCTAAGGTGATGAAATTTAATTTGAAATAAATGTTTTAAAAATTTTCATGACACTAGAGATAAGAAAGGTAAAAGACATAGCCTAGTCTTAATCTTATAATAATTACCTTTTAAAATACCTTATTAATTTTTATTTATTATGGTTATCCCCTATTCCCTATTCTTGTGTTGATAAGGAGTGTGCATGTGTTCAGCTTTAGTAGATATTTTTAGTTTTCCAAAGTGATCAAACCAATATAATAAATTTATATTATATAATAAATTTATAGCATAGTGGCTAAAGCACTTGACTGCTAACCAGAAGGCTGGCGGTTCAAACCCACCAGCCACTCCTCGGAAGGAAGGTTGGGCAATCC